ATACGCCGCAACCTCAATGTTATATAGTACGCCATCTACTGGGAACGCCGGAAATGCATGACAAATAAACATCAAGGTTTATTATTGTAAATTTATTCCAATTTGTGGGGCCGGATTATTAAAAGGTTTAAAGGGCGGCATACGGCCCCCGGGGCCGTAGTTTTGCCCACCCCTGGTCCTAAGATGATGCCAAGGTTGGTGACTTGGGACGAACATGATTTTGAGGAATCCCACATTAGTGAGGGAACTGTTGGCCCCAACAGTATCACCCTCAGTCTTATCTTCATTCAGTTTCAAAAAGTTTTGGGCCAACCAAGCCTTGACGTCCGATAGACAGTCGAGCAGGGGTGTCAGGGGGCAGTGATCCTTTTTGCCAATGGGTAAATAAATTTGGCAATCATCTGCATAAAAATGATAAGACAGGCCATGTCTTCTAAAAAAATCTCCAAGAGGGAGCAGATAAAGTGCAAAAAGCATAGGCCCCAGGATTGAACCCTGGGGGACTCCACTAAGAAGAGGGGTGGATGACGAGGTGGAGTCCCCCAGCCTTACAATGAAGGACGAGAGGTACGACCTAAACCATTCCAGGGCGGTCCCCCTGACACCCACACATTCTTCAAGATGTTTTAAAAGAGTTGCATGGACAACTGTGTCAAAAGCAGCAGTCAGGTCTAAAAGCACTAAAATGGCAGAATCACCAGCATCAGTTATTAAAAACAGGTCATTAAAAACCTTTAAAAGTGCAGACTCAGTGCTGTGAAACGCCTTGTAGCCTGACTGAAAAGTGTCTAAAATTCCATTTACATCTAAAAAAGGCTGCAGCTGTGAAATAACAGTTTTCTCCAGGATTTTTGATATGAAGGGAAGTTTGGAAATGAAACGAAGGACCGGTTAACAAACAAATGAGTGAAAAAAAAATTCCCTTTTTATACCAAATTTTGAACCCAGAATCAGTCAAAGCTGGTGGGAAAAAAGGGTTCGGTAAGACTGTTTTTAGTGTCAGGAGAACTCAGACCATTGACATGCACTAGTCTAACACCAGTGACCTCTGCAAATACAAGGACTGGATGGAAGATTTCAAAAAGTGTCTCCACACGTCTCCAACTCTCTGGATCACGAGGAAATGAGAGTCTATGTCCAAAATTGTGAACTGTCCCTTTAACGAATTCATTCATGGTGAGTTGAACTCTATTAACGCCTAACAGAGAGTGTTTTATTACATAAGAGTAAGAGACGTTTATTAAGTGTGAATAAGTCAAAACTACATTTCTTGTGCTACTCGTCCTTAACAACACGCTTATGACCAAAAGTTTATTCAAATCATAAATCATGGACACAAAAGTCTTAGTATCACAGTAATAAGCAGGAATAAGGAGTGTATTCAGAGGAAAGTGTTTGTAAATGTCCAACTAACAGCACAATAAGTTTATCTGGAATTAGACGTTAATAAGCGCTGAACAGTGTTGGGAGTGTTACTTTTAAAATGTATTCACCTACAGATTACAGATTACATACCCCAAAATGTAGTTTGTAACGTAATCCATTAAATTACTTAAAGTGAGTAAAGTAATCTGAATACTTTGGATTACTTGATATTGTGGAGCTTTTTAAAACGACATGAATGTAGCGACCACATCCTGAAAATTCATGTTTGTTCTCTTCAAATTGTGTGTTGAGCCCAAGTCTCCATGAAGAGGCTTTTGTTTGCTGTAGAGAAACAAAGATGAAGATGTTTTATCTGCTAAAAGGCACAAAAACAAAGCCCAGACTTTCCTGAACCAGATGAAAAATATTATTGATAGAAAAATGATTTTGATATGAGATCACCTTCAATTATGTCCAACCTACTGTTATGAGTCATATTGTTTAGTCCTGGTTTAGTCCTGGTTTAATCCTGGTTTAGACCTGGTTTTAGACCTGATTTAGTCCTGGTTTAATCCTGGTTTAGTCCTGGTTAAATCCTGGTTTAGATCTAGTTTAATCCTGGTTTAGTCCTGGTTTAGTCCTGGTTTAGTCCTGATTTTACTCCTGGTTTAGACGTGGTTTAGTCCTGGTTTAGACCTAGTTTAGTCCTGGTTTAAGTCCTGGTTTAGTCCTGGTTTAGACCTGGTTTAGTCCTGGTTTCATTCCAGTTTAGTCCTAGTTTTAGACCTGTTTTAGGTCTGGTTTAGTCCTGATTTAGTCCTGGTTTAGTTCAGGTTTTAGTCCTGGTTTAGTCCTGGTTTAGTCCTGGTTTAGACCTGGTTTAGACCTGGTTCAGTCCTGGTTTAGTCCTGGTTTAGTCCTGGTTTAGACCTGGTTCCAGTTCTGGTTTAGTCCTGGTTCAGTCCTGGTTTAGTCCTGGTTCAGTCCTGGTTTAGTCCTGATTTAGTCCTGGTTCTAGACCTGGTTTAGACCTGGTTTAGACCTGGTTCAGTCCTGGTTTAGTCCTGGTTCCAGTTCTGGTTTAGTCCTGGTTCAGTCCTGGTTCAGTCCTGGTTTAGTCCTGGTTTAGTCCTGGTTTAATCCTGGTTTAGTCCTGGTTTAGTCCCAGTTTAGTCCTGGTTTTAGACCTGTTTTAGTTCTGGTTTAGTCCTGGATTAGCCCAAAATGTGAAAACAGGAAAATATCGCCGTGTAATCCATTTATTTTAACAAAGTAACTGTAACTGAGTACAGTTACTCATAAATTGTACTCTGAT